TCTAACTACAAACTTATCCGTTCGCCCCCTAGTGGAGAGAAGCGTAAAGGCAGGGACTGTGTCAGCCCCCTCCCCCCAACCCCATCTTGCCCAAAGCCTTTCTCCTCCTCTCACACAGCACTACACACCCCCACCAGCAGGAGGCAACCTCCACGTCCTCAGGCGACACCCGCTAAAGCTCTAGGTCCAGACAGAGAACGGTCATCCCAGGCCCCATAAGCAAGGTACGCAAGCATGTGGGCCTGAGACTGTGGGCACCGCTCCAGGGTGACACACAGACCCTCCCCGCCCATAAACCCGCAGACCCAGCACCCCCGTCAGCCCCTCACTCCTCCAGGCCATTGTCCACCTGGCAGCCACAGTTGAGTGTCCTAGAACATACTGGCCTGGGTCGCTATGTGAGGGTGCCAGCTCCAGGCCATGGCCCCAGGACGAGGCCTATGTGGCCAGTGTCCTTCTCTCCCCAGAGGCCCCTCAGCCAGCAGCTCCGGTAGCAGGCCCACTGCCCGCCGGTCCATCCAGTCCGCGCCCACGGCAGTCCGCGCCCACGGCAGCCCCCGCCCCAGCCCCCAGCCACACAGAGTCCTCCTGCTGGGAGCAGGGAAGGGCACACGGCACACCTGCCTGGCAGGAAGGCTCAGCTTTGTTTGGCGGGCTCCAGAGTCGTCCGCCCCCTGCCCCGCCTAGAGAGGGGTCCGCGGCTGCAGGCCCTCAGTAACAAGAAAGGAGAAGTGTTCGTACGAATAGCGCTCCTTCCTCTGGGGTGCCTGCTATGGGGAATGGCAACGGTCTGGCTCAGGCCTGTCTGCCCCCACACCAGGCTCCTTGGGGACACGGACAGCAGAGGCCTGGCCAGGCCACGGTCAAGGCCAGCCCCACTGGACTCCTGGGAGGGCGGCCAAGCTACACCAAGAGCACAGGCTGAAGAGGTCAAGTGTGTGCACCTGGGATGCCCTGCAAACCCCCTCGGCGCCCACCCCTCCCTTAGGACACCCTGCACCTGGGACACAAGAAGGGTATGGAGGAGCCCAGGGCGCCGTCTGTGTAACCCTGCCCCACTCAACACCTGGCTTGGCAACTCCACGAACACTTGTTTCCAGGCCCAGCAAAGGGGGGTGACGCCCGGCGGATGCTCACCGGCGTTCCGGGAACCCAGCTCTGCAGAGCACTCTGGCCCCCAAGAAGGCAGGGCAGGAAGCAGGGAGCTCCCAGGCCAGCCAGAGGCAGAAACCCCAGCTTGGGTGCCGGCGGGTCTGAGAGCAGCAGGCCAGGGCGGCCCTTCCAGAGGGGCGGACCTGGGGACCAGATCACACTGTCTGCTCGCTCTCCGACCCGCTAAGGAAGGGGAGCTTGCACACGGAGGACCCAGAAAGCCGGGACCAGCTGGGCCCACTTGGGTCACAGTCAGCCACCAGGAACCAGAGCCACAGTCCCCGATTCCCCTCAGCCTCCGTTCAGAGCAAGAATCTGGAATAGCCGTGGCCACTCAACACACTGCCGCTTGTGACGGGGACGTCCTTCCCCAAGGTGCCTCACACCACATCCCTGGTACTCAAGTTTCACTGAAATATCACCATCTTGAGGCCCCTGGCCCAGCCACCCAATCTCCACTTGCCCCGACCCACTCTCCTTGTGGCAAGTCACTACGGAAACGTCTTGGTGCCCGTGGGCTAGGAGGCAGGCGGCAGGGGAGTGGAAGGGACCGCCCTGCCCCATGCCTCCGAGACCCCCAGCACCCGGAGCAGGACGCAAAGGGGCCCGTGGACACAGCCAGCCCTGAGCAGCGTCCCGGTGTGACGGCTCATCTGTGGGGACAGACATCCATCCGGACCTCCCCTCCACTCCGGCCCGAGCCACCCGCCGCCCCCCAGGCTGAGCGTCCTCGGGACGGGGAAGGTGGCTCGTAACAGGCGAGCGGAGCCGGCGCAGCTGCAGGAGATGCACCCCCTCCCCCCGGGCCTACCTTCCTTGGTGGGGGGGTGGGCCCGGCCAGGAGGCAGGCAGCACAGCCGGTGCCTGGTGACCTGTGCCAGGCCCTTGTTGGGGTTCTTCTTCAGGACGGGGCTGCTCTTCCCCCGGGGGGCCTGCCTCCGCCGCAGGCTCAGCTGGCTCTTGGCGGTGGCGGCAGGCGGGGCGCCATTCTTCTTGTCGCAGGGAAGGCTGCAGAGACAAACAGCAGGCAGCTCCCAATGGGCTCCCCCAGCAGGGCGGCTCTCCCCATCTACCCCTGCCCATCCAGACCCCAGCACCGTGGAATCACCCCGGGAGGTCCCAGCCTGCCCGCCTTCTCAGCAGCGGCCCGTGCGCTCCTCCCCCACTTCAGAGCCCGGAGCCGGGGCAGAGGGAGAGCGGCTCCCAACCCTTGACCCCCACCCGGTGTATCTGCACCAGGTCCCCTCGGTGTCCCTAGGCCGGATGAACTCTCCAGTGGGGCTGGGGGCTGGGGGCAGCGCTAAGGAGCCACTGCAGGGGAGGGGCCGCCACCAGCTGCCCCCAGCCACCTCTGCAGGAGAGGCTACTGCTCACAGCTCCCCTGTCCACATCAGCCGAGACAGGACGGCCACCGTCCAGAAAAGGCAGGGGACTTTTTAACTGTCTGGGAGAGCAGGGCCAAGGACCAAGGTCAGACAGCAGGGAGGACCTCCAAAGGGGACTCACAGTGAGAGTGACTCTGCCCTTGCAGTTACCAGCTGCCGTGATGAAGTCCGAACCCCAGACCAAACCTGAGCCACAACGCCATTTTTTAGCCTCTGCACAATCCTTGCAGGTGGAGGGCCAGGGAAACGACCCGTATTCAGTGAAACAGTGACTCACTGGTCACCCGGCTGCCAAGGAGGCAGACTTCCCGGTGCGCCCCGGGTTTGCGCAGCTAGTGCGCAGCTGGGTATAAAGCATCATCCGCAAACCCAGTGGACCCGGAACAGAAGCTGCCCCAGCAGCCTCTGGTCTGTCACTAACAGGAGATGGGAGGGCTCCCCGTCGTCACTGGCTGAGCCCCAGTTACCCCAGTAACCCCAGCCTCATTTGCACTGGGTACAGTAACACCGCCAGCCACGCTCGGCTGGACCCGTAGCCGGTGATGCTTCATTTCCTCCTCCCACGGCCCCGCAGGTGAGCCCTCCCACACGCTCCACATGCCCAGCAGGGAGCTGCCAGGCCCAGGCCTGCCCCCCTGCCTGCCCAGACAGGACCCTGGGGTGCTGGCAGGGGCACCTACCTAGCGCCGCCCCGCCTCCGGATGATCTTGGTGCGGCTCTTCACTTTGTAAGCCGAGAGTGGGGTCTCACTGAAGAGGGGCTTCAAGCCACTGGGTCCCACTGCCGGTCTGTCCCCTGGGGGGAGCCTAGATGGGAGCTGGGAGGCATGGTCCTTGCTGCCAGCTTCCGACTGCCAACGAAAGGAGGAGGATGAGGAGGCCGAGGGGCTGGACGCCTTCCACTTGTATTTGCTGGGGGAGGCCCCGAGCGTGGAGGACGCGGACGACCTCCTGGGCTTGGCATCCGGATCAGCTCTGAGCTGTGGCTTCTCCCCCTGTGCTGCTGTGCCAAAGGGGGCCCTGCACACGGTCTCCGAGGCTGCTCTGGGACTGAGGGCCCTGCGAGTGGCCCGGGGGCTCTTGGCTGAAGCAGCCACCCACTTGTAGTTGTTCTTCCGGAACTTGCTGGTTCGACAGGACACGAGCAGTGAGGCCTCCCGGGCCTGCCTGGGTCCAGAAGCTGCTCTGGCTGGGCCTGCCACCGAGCCCGAGGAAGCCGGCTGATCTGGGTGGCCAGCATTCACTCTCCCATCTCCAAGGTGCTGGGCGACACAGCTGGCCACAGAGTGTGAGCCCACCTTCCGGCCCGGAGCCGCGCCACTGCGCTGGGGCAGGGTGGGGGACAGGAAGCGTGCCTTGGCCGCAACCGCACTCTCGCTGACAGTCCGCCGGGGCTCAGAGGGGCTGTCACTCACGCTGCTCACAGACTTTACCACCCGAGGCTTGCCAGGCTCCTTCTGGCAGACCAGAAGGGGGTCCTCTGTACTGCAGCTCCCCTTGGCTCTTCCCGGCCTTGAGGGTTGCTGCTGCCCACCAGGGGGCTCGCCCTCGCCCTCCTGAGGCCTGTGGTGGCTCCAGGAGGGGTCCTCACCTCCTTCCAAGGAACCCCGAGAGACCCCTGCAGCGCTAGCTGAGCCCGGTTTTGATGGTGGCTTGATTTTGATAACCATGTTCTGATCTGGACTCAGCTGGACCTGCCTCTCCAGGACATACTGCGCGGGGTCAGGACCCCGGCTGCCCCCAGCCCTGAGAGGTGGCTGTGCGGCACAGTCACCGGGCGGGTCTGAGGCTCCTGGGGGCCGGTTCACCAGGGAGTATTTCTTGCGCCATGCAGGCCCATGGCTCAGGGAGAAGCCCCTCCGGCCGGGACGAGGGTAGCTGGCACCGAAGGCCCTGCTGCTGTTGTAAGCAGGTGGCTGCCAGCGGGCAGCGGCCGACGTGCCTGGGGCAGGGGCGTTGCCATGGAGGTTTTTGTAGTCATCGATCAGACCTGAGAAGGCAGAATCACGGGCTCAATTAACCAGAGGCTGACAGTAAACTCAGCCAACAGCCCAGTCCCCCGGAGGCACGTCAGCCGACAAGACACCCCACAGACCCCACCTCCCTCATGAGCCCCCGCCTGGCCCCAGGACAGTTCAGCCCGAATTCCCTCCGCCCATCTTTCCCATGAGCCTTTCCCATCAGTCTGCTTCCATCCTAGTCGCTTACACTGAAAACACACCCCTGTGGCTTCATGTTCCTAATCTGTCGGGAGTATTATACCAGGTCCACAATGCTTTGAGGTGAAACGTCACTTGATATGAAGAGACCAGCAAGGCCCCATGCTCTAATGCCTCAACAAGGGGGCCGGTGAGCCACGGAGGCCCTCTGGCTTGCCCACGGATGGAAAGGAGGCAGGAGTACCCCTTAATAATCCCCCCTGCCTGGCGCAAGGGACAATGAGCGTAAGACAAGTGACACAGGGGTCGGCACTCCACAGTTGATGGGAATGTCACACCGTCCTCCTCTAAGGGGAGAAGAGGCCTGATTGTCTGGAGGCCCGACAGTGGATCGCGGTCCCGGGGCAGGAGGGGTACAGGTTCAGCTGGAACACCCCAGGGAGTTAGGCCTCAGCCAGCAAACCAGTAGCTAAGTCCTCTGTTACAACGCTGCCCACCACAAGCCCCGTCCCCAGACCCAAGAAAAGCCATGTCCAGACCTGGTGACACTCCAGGACAGCTGTGACAGGACCAGCCCGCCTGGACTCTCCCCCATACACATTTTCCAAATCCTTAAGTCTTCTCTTCATGGGAAAACTTTAAATGCGGAAATTTTTCGGAACACACACCTCAACTTGGGTGTAAAAATTGAAAAGATGGGAAACTGAGGCCTGGCGAGTGGGGGCCTTGGACTATCAAGAGGACTGTGACTGTGTGGAGGGAAGAAGCCAAGACGAGGCGTCCAGGGGCTTTCCCACGCGGCACCAGGTCAAGCTCTCCACCCTACTGTGTGGCACCGAGAGCGACAGGGCGCCGAGGAAGCGCCCGCCCGTGGGGGTTGGGGGGGGATGCCTCCCGCCGGTTACTAAGCGACGGCCCCGCCGCCACCCGCTGCAGCGCCTGAAGGACACGCACTACCCGTCCGGAGAAACGGGCAAGGGGCTGACCCCGGCCGGCCCGGATGCCCTTCCGGGTTCCCCACCGCCTCCCCGACCCTACCCACGCCCCCACCCGACCCGACCTGGCCGTCCAGACCGAGGGCGCGGAGCGACGCCCTCCGGGGAGGCGGGCAGCGGCCCGCCGTGAGGTAAGGAAGGGTAAAGAAAGGGACGCGCGACCCGGGCCCGGCCCGGCCCGGCCCGGCCCGACCCGACCCACCCTGCAGGAGACGGATCTGTCGCCGTAATTGCTCCTTTTCCTCCATCTCCGGAGTCCGCGACGCCCGGCCGGGCCCCCGAGACGTCATCGCCGCGCGACTGTTTCCCCGCCGGCGGGGCGGGGCCCACGGAAGCTCCGAGCCTGCGCACTGCAGCTAGGCCAGGGCGTTGGCCGGGCTGGGAGGAACGCGCCGTCGTCCTGGCAACGCCGGCGGAAAGCCGGGGTCACGCACGCACAGGGCAAGGGGCGGGGCGACGTCAGCGCGGCGCGCCGGCCGGGGGCGCGAACGCACGGGACCGGAGACGGCCGAAGGCGGGTGGTTTGGGACCTGGTGCGGCGGCAGCTGGCTCCGGTGCTACGGCCCCTCGTTCCCTGCGGGACCAGGCGAGGAGCCGAAGTCCGGACCCCTCTTCGGCCGCAGCGCAGCTCCTTCTCCGCGTAGAATTACGCTGTGGAGGCTCTGCGGGGGGACCTGGTGGCACGAGCGCCGGAGAGGCTCTCTGTTAACGCTGCCCCGTGGGCCAGGGCAGGAGAGGAAACTCCGGAACGAGGGGTCCCTAGGCGGGGAAGCTCTGAAAACGTGAAAGATTTCGGTTTATCAGCGGGAACAAGTGCAAAACAGATGTACAAACGTTGTACGCTGCTGGGGGGTGCAAAATGGTGCAGCTGCTGGGGAGAACAATCTGGAGGTTCTTCAAAAGGTCAAAACTAGAATTACCATATGACCCAGCAGTTCCACCTTGCGTGTGTACCCACGAGGAGTGAGAGCGGGGACTCACGCCGCTGCTCCATGAAGCGCTATTCACAATGGTCAGTGGAACGGCTCAACTGTCCCCGAGGATTAATGGATGGACAATGTGGTCTGTCCAGACAGTGGACTATGATTTAGCCTCGGAAAGGAATGTACTACTTCTCGATCCCCGTTGTGACAACGGTGGACCTCAGAATCACTTTGCTAAGTAAAATAAACGGGTCACAAAAGGACGTATGTCGTATGACTCCGCTTCTGTGAAATATCTAGACTAGGCAGATTTCTAGAGACAGTAGATTAGAGGTTACCAAGGGCTGTGGGAAGGAGGAACAGAGAGTGAAAACGTTGTGGGTACAGGGTTCTGTTTGGAACGATGAAAAAGTTTTGGAAAGAAATGGTGACTGCACAATACTGTGTACTTAATGCCACTGAATTGGACACTTAGAAATAGCTGTGTGACAGCTTGTATGTTGTAATTTTTTTTTTTTTTTTTACCACAATGAAATGGACAATGTGTTTGCCACAGGCCTGTGCGATAGCAAATGTTAAAGGAAATTCTTCGGGCTGAAGGGAAATGATAGGACGTGGAAACATCCGTGTGAAGAAAGAGACCAGGAAATGGAAAATTTGTTAGTAAATTGTAATTCTCACTTCTTATTTGCTTTAAAAGAAGTAGTTAGAGGGGCGCCTGGGGGGCTCAGTCGGTTGAGCGTCCAGCTTCGGCTCAGGTCACGATCTCACAGTTGATGGGTTCGAGCCCCGCGTCTGGCTCTGTGCCGACAGCTCGGAGCCTGGAGCCTGCTTCGGATGCTGTGTCTCCCTCTTTCTCTGCCCCGCCCCTGCTCACACTCTCTCGAAAATAAACCTTAAAAAAAAGTATGAAAACAAGCAGTTGCGATAAAAATATAAATAACGATGCTAATAACGTTCCAGGCGTGTTTGCTGCGGCAGCACGTGGCCTAAAATTGCAGTGATTCCGGAGAAGAGTGCCTTAACCCCGCGCAGGGATGGCAGGCAGCTCGTGGAGCTTTTCATTAAAACAACAGATGGTGGGTTTACAACGTGGGTGGAAGTAAAACATGCCAACGATCGTGCAAGGGGTTCAAGTGCATCTGCTGGAGGTGAGAGCCATGCCCTGCCTCCCAGGTTAGCAGCTGAAGCGCCCCTGGGGGGTGGGTGCTACGCCACCTTGTGCACTGCGACGGACGCTGGGCTCCTCCTGTGGCGGCCGCATGCCTGGCCGAGGACACCAGCCTGCGTTGGCTGCCTCTGCACTCGGGCTGCAGAACCCCGCTGGGAATCCCCCCCGACCCAGATGACTTTGAGAAGTAGAATCTATCTGGAAGCATCTTTGCTTCCTGGGCCTTTTCTGGCCCCTTTCCAAGCGCCGCCCGGCCCTGTCCATGCTCTGTCGTACCCTCCTCCGCTCCCACCGCCGCTGTCCTTGCTGAACTCTAACTGGAGCTCACCTCTCCCTCTCCCACAAGGCAGCCAGAGGCACCCCAGGGGAGGGGCCATGGAGACAGGCTCAGGGGGACTTACGTACTGGGACTGGTGTAAGATCCTGAGGCCTTGGCAAAATGAGGGCAGGGGAGGGGAGTGCTTGAAGATTGAGATGGAATCCCCCTTCGGGAGCTTGGGGAACACTCTTGGACTTGCCCTGTGTTGTTTCTCTTGAGGATCCTACAACTGTCACCTCGTGAATGAGTCAGGGCTGGCCTGATGCAGGATGGACAGCACAAAATGTCAAATCTGACCTGCCTGAGCCGCTCCCTCCTTCCACCGACCCGGTCGGCACCCCCACCCCTCTGGGGGTCTCCCTTCCCTGCCTCCTCCTTCCCTCCAGGTCTGCAGGCGGGTGGGAGTCAGGTGACCCAACTCAGGTGGGAACAGGTGGTTGGCAGGCTGGGACTGCTACCCCATGGATGCCCCCAATCCTTTCGTCCCAGAGGGAAGAGAGCAGGAAGTTAGTGTGGAAGACAGCTGCCCTCGAGGACCCTGTGGACCCCTGCTGCACGCCAGCATCACTGGCCCTCACTAAACAGCACGACCCTCATACTCTCTGAGCCAGATCTTGCTGGGAGGAGAGTGTTTGGTCTACTGTCCCCTAAATGGTAGCATTTCCACTAGGCTCTCCGGGACCAGGATGGATGAACCTCACCAGACAAACCTGCCAGTGCCGGGCACTGAGCAAACAGCCCATAATCCCCCCTCCTGCCCCAGCAATGCCCAGATTCCAGCTGTGCGGAAAGGCTAGTCCTGGCCAGGGCAGAGGGGAGTGAGGCTCAAAATACAAAAAGCGAGAGCAAGGGGGCTGCTTCCTCCTGCAGAGGCCCAGTTGGGGTGGGAGACGGTTCTGTGCCCCCGCCGCCAGCAGGCAGAAAGCTCAGGGGGCCAGACAGGTCACAGCAGAGGACTGCAAAAGGAAGCAGCCGTTGTGCAGTGCCTTCCTGCCGCCCACGCCCCCGGAGCCGCCCTTGAACCCAGTCGCCCTGCTCTGGGGCTGCCCAGGCGGCCCGGGGACCCTCCGAAGGCTGCCTGAGCGCCTGCCGGGCGGGGCCTGCTGACCAGGCCACTGCGGGCACGCCCCAGCGTCCAGAGCTAGTGACGGGGTGGCCCAGGCGGCCAGCGGGAGGGATGCCCCGCGGGTCACCCAGTCCCTCCAAAGGTGGGACTGTCGGGACTTGCCGTCAGCGTTCGTGCTCTCTGGGCCGGGCGGGTCCCGAATCCTGACCACTGCCGCTCTTCCGGGCCAGGGCTCCCAGGGGCCCCGAGGACGGGACACAGACACGGCAACGGGTGACGCCCGAGGAGGGGGAGCGGGGCCGCTGGGGGGCGGGGTGCCGCGGAGGGTGTGGGCGCCCTGAGTGTCCCCGGAGGGTCGGGCGGGACGGGCCTGAGCGGCTCCCGCTGGGGGCACTGCACCGGCCCACCGGTCCCCGGGAACCTGGCGCCCCTCTAGCCGCCCCGTGGGGCCTGCCGGCCACCCCCCTGCCTGGAATGCAGCTGCCTCCGGACTCCCGTCCCTAAGCCCCGGCTCCCGCTCCCTCCACCTCCATCCAGCCCTCGAGGTTGTCTCTGGAACCTTAGCAACCTGCCTCGTCTTGGCCAGGGGCCGGACACCCCCAGGGCAGGGCACCCCCAGGGCAGGGTCTGCGCTGGATTGCCCACTGCCACCCCTGCACCGGCCCCTTCCCCTGGATGGGGTCAGGCAGAGTTCCTGGTGGCAGCGAGCGCCCTCCACCTTCCCGCACCTTAGCGGCCCCCGCAGGCCGAGCCTCCCCGACCCGTCCAGGCACGAAGTGACCTCCGCAGGCTCCCAGTCTCCGGTCACCGCACGCTGTCAGGGACACAGTGTCCGCCCTAGCTGCGGACCCCAGGGCTCGCCCACCCCTAGGCCACGGCAGGCTTTATCTCCCTCGGTATGACCTAGAGGGGGCTGGAGGAGGACATAATGGCACCCCAGACTTCCTTGGCCCTCAGAATGTCCTGGGGGCCACCCCTTTCCTCTGGAATGGGACCCGGGGAGGGGATAGGCTGCGGGCCATCCCTTCCCACCCTTTCCACCTTTCCTCCCCACAGGCTCACCCCCGCCCTCTCAGGCTGACTTCTGTCCTCTATAGATAGAGTCAGGAGCCCAGGTCATGGCACTAGGCTTGGCACCGGCCTCCTGTTTTGGTTATTGCTGAAGAGCTGAAAATGTGGACCCGCAATTGTGGTGACCCCGCCCCGCCCCGCCTCACCCCACCTCGCCCCACCTGAGGCGGTGGCCCCCGGAAGCCTCAGGGCAGCCGGGCTCACAATGGGCCGCCCTTGGTGGTGGCCCTGGGCAGTGTGGCACTGCTCCTCTCGCCCGCCCGTGGATGGCCCCTGCCTGGGTCCTCTGCCCCAGACCCCGTGCCCTGGGGTGGGGGGTGGGGGGGACTGCCTGCAGGGATAGGGAGAGACACAGGCAGGGCTGCAGGAGAGAGAGCCCCTACGTAGGAGCCGTGGGCCTCGCAGCCCCCAACACACAAACGCACACAACACATGCAAGCATGTACAGACACAAATACAAATGTACAAGTGATGAGGTTTGGGGGTGACGGTGGGGGTCCGGAGCCCGCCGCCAAGAAAGAATTCTCGAAGACGTCTTTGGTGCAAAGAGGTGATTTTATTAAAGCACGGGGCCAGGACCCGTGGGCAGGGAGAGCTGCCCTGGGGTCGTGAGGAGTGGCTCCTCATATGCTATGAAGTTGGGGGAGCAAGGTCAAATGCGAGGCGTCCAGAGGGCCTTTGATTTGGTAAAGAGGACTCCTAAGATACCTGAGGCCTGGCTCTTGTCAAGCTGAGGTGGT